ATTTAAAAAAATAATATAAATAAATATATAAATTGTCTCTAAATTTTTTATTTAAAAATAAAAAAATAATAATTATTTTAAAACAAATAAAGTGATTGCATAAAACTTTATTTTTTTAATAAGTTAAGACAAATAATTCATCTTATAAAAAAAGAGAAAGGAAATAAGAAGGAAGTTATACAAATTGAAATTCGCATAAATGAGCAAAAAAAAATTTTATATTTAAATATTTCACTAGAAGACATAAAGACCTTCCTCAATTATATAAAATTTTATTAAAAATAACATTATGAGTTAATTGTATAAGACTTCGTTATGAGACAATATCGTGGGTGCATTAACCAAGATTAATTTTTATCAATATTTTCCAAAGACCTGAATCACATTTTTTTGGCACACAAAATAGAGTTTGTTTAAGCCTAATCACACACCAGTTCCAGTACCACCAGTGCTTTTTAAAATTAAATCTAGTACAGCTGAAATCTCTCTTCCTTCTCTTACCTTTGAACTTGACATCTCTATACACACTCTCCCACACACCCAATTCCTCCAATAATATATAGAGAGAGAAAATCTTTACCATACAAAAAAATTACTCCTAGAAAACAAAAAAGAAATCCAAAGAAATTCAAAAAGACAAAGAATTTATCGATAAAAATATTTAAAAATAAAAGTAAAAATAAAAATAAAATCTCACTCACTAAAAAGATGTACGAGTAGAAAGCATTCCTTCCCATAAAAACCAAAAGCCAAATGACCAAACCCTCCACTCTCTCAACTCAATCCCTCCTCCGCCACTCCGCCGCCGTCTCCAATGCTGTCCCCGCCATTCACCTGCCGTTGAACGCCACCGCAGCATCAAACACTCCAGATGCCTCTCTCTCACTCTTCTCCGCCGCACCCCTCCTCCTCCGCTTCTGCTAGCAGCAACAGCACCTTGCACTGTGGTGATGTGGTCTCCTGTGATCCTGACACGTGTGCGCACGATCACCCTCTACGCAATTCTCAACCGTCCGATGTGGGTACCGTCGCTAGACTCATTGACTCGGAGGTCCACCACATGCCTCCCCCGGATTATCTCCGCCGCTGCCGTGACCGCGCCATAGATGTCACCGCTCGTCAAGACTCCATAAACTGGATCCTCAAGGTATCCATTTTTCTCAAAATATACAAATATGACGTGTACGTTTTCCATTGGTGTTTGACATTGGGGAGGGCAATGCAGGTGCATGCATACTATGATTTCCGCCCAGTAACGGCGTTACTTTCCGTCAACTATTTCGACCGTTTCCTCTCCTCCCATTCTCTCCCGGTAATTCCTTCCTTTTCCTTTTCCCGGGAAAAAAAAAATTCCTGTTATTTTCCCGAGAAAATGCCAGATTTTCCGGGAAAATAACCCAAACGTGAAATATACTTATCTGATCTGACTTCAAATCTTTGTGTAGCTACCAAATGGGTGGCCGTTTCAGCTGCTATCGGTGGCGTGCTTGTCGCTGGCGGCGAAAATGGAAGAAACCGAAGTCCCATTGCTTTTGGACCTCCAATTGTTCGAACCCAGATTTGTATTCGAACCCGGAACCATCCAGCGAATGGAGCTCCGAGTCATGGCCGCCCTCAATTGGAGACTTCGCTCAATCACTCCCTTCGATTATCTCCACAACTTCATCTCCATGCTCCCCTCTTCTTCTTCCCAAATGCCCGATCCCTCTTCTCGGGTCCTCTCCGCTTCTTCAGATCTCATCATCGGCACTACCCGTGGTAAACTTGGCCCGATTCGAATCTCACTTTTTTCCCACTAATTTAGTCCGTAATAAGTTGTTAATTTTTGGGTGTGATTCAATTGGTTGCAGTGATTGATTTCCTAGGCTTTACGCCATCTACAATAGCGGCAGCTGCTGTTCTCTCCGCCGCCGGTTTGAATTCCAGAATCCAGGATGCTCCTGATTCATTCTTGCACCAGTACCAGAGTATAAACAGAGTATGTTCTTGGTGAAATAAGTATAATTTCTTATTTTACAGGGGTCATTTTGCAAAAATAATTATTTTTGCGAGAATTTCGAAGAGTAGAGAGCATAGAAAGATGTGTAAAATTGAAAATTTATTTTAAAAAATAAAAAATAATAACTCGTGGTGATTTTTTTCTTTTTCTTGTGAGCTAGAATATGGTGAGAAGCTGTCACCAACTAATGGAGGAGTATTTGGTTGACACGTGTCCATCGGCTTCGCTCAAGAATCTAAGAGTCGAGCCGCAGCGTGAGCCGTCCAGCCCAGTTGGCGTGCTCGACGCGGCTGCTTGCGGGAGCTGCGATACGAGGTCCGAGAATCCCGGCTCAACAAGCCAAGCTCAGCCGCCAGCCAAACGGCCTCGATCATCTGATCCAGATGTACAGCAATAGTAGATAAGAGCACCGCCATCTTAAGGGCTCCTCTCCTTTTTGTTTATTTCTCTATCGTTGATTAAAAAATGCATATGGCCGGGATTAATTTGGTTAATACCGAAACATAAAAGGGAAGAGGGAATTTTGTTATTATTATTTTTATTTATCTTTTGAAAGACCATATTAATAATTTTTCTTTTATTTTATTCTAAGTTTTTAATTTTGTAGTTTAGGTTGTATTATATTAAATTATATAATAAAAATAATTGAATTAAGAAGATAATCTTTAATATAAAAAGTTATTTTTTTATTTTATAATATAAATTATATAATTTGATACAGTTTAAATCGAATAATAATTCATTATTTATTTGTCTTGTTACATTAGGTTATCAAATCGTCTTTTATCATGGGGTCTTGTAGTGGTAGAGGAAAGTCTTTGCTGCGCTTTAAATGGCATCTCTAATCAATATAAATAAATATCTCAGAAACTTTAAAGGGACCTCAACATGAATTCCCAAACATGACATGAAATCTTGTGACCTGATTAATTGATACTTGGATTAAATCTCTGACAAGTTTTTTTAACGTGGAACAAGAAAAGTTTCAGCAGATATGTCGTCTGGTTGAGAAGACTACGTTATCATGCTTCAATTATTTGCAAAACATGGTCCATGAGTTACATGAGGGCTATCAAAAGAAATTATATCTACATGACTACATGAAAATAACAAATCTAATTACCAAAATGCCCTTGTAGACAGATGTAATTGTCTTTTAGAATTTAAGTTGATGCATGGAGTTATGGACGTAATTTTTCAACCCTGATTTATTAGCATGGGAGTCTTGTAATATATAACAACTATATATAAACATAATGTTTTTTTTTTTTTAATCTTAATTGTATGGTAGAAGGAAGCTTTTTCTCATTTTTTATTCTACTCTACTTATATATTATATGATTTAAATTTAAAATTTTTTATTTTTAACAAAAAGAGATAATTATTTTATTATTTAAGTTGTTATTTTATTATTTAAGTCGTTGGTATAAATATAATGTTAATTTACACGTTTTATCAAATAAAATTAGTTAAGAAAAACTATTGAGTTTTTGGTTATATAATTTGAATTGTGTTAGATTGTAAAGTATAAATTATTAAATAAAAAAATTGTTAATATTAAAAATTTTATTTTTATTTAATAAGAAAATTATATAATTTAAAACAATTTAAATTATACCATTTTTTTTCCTAAAGCTAAGGGATTGAATGCTGGCTCAGAAACCCAAAAAAAAAATTGTTCTATATATTTTGAATATAAAATAAAATATATTAAAAATGAGATAAATTGCGTTTTGATTTTGAAAAATAAAATAAAATTTGACAAATTGATTGGATGTGGACCATGTGGTGTTTCCTAGATGGGTAAGTGTGGATGCTCCACGTGTCCGACAGATATAACGGGGAGTCATTCCCGTTTTACAGTTGGAGACCCGGACCCTCGGTGTGAGGCTGTTCGGATCGTGGGTGGATCTTTAATGTACGTTAGGACAGGTACGACGATACAAACGAAACGAGATCTCATTTCCCAAACTACCCCTAGTTGAGTCTTCTTTGGTCGGGAATGAAAATTATGAAACGCAGATGGGTCGAGGGCGTTATAGTAAATGCGTGACACCCAAGTGTCCGTAGGCTGTAGCGTGATGTGTCCTACACAAGTCAAGGGAGTTGCCACGTAGGGGAATGACATAATGTGTGACGTAGGCAGTCGCATTGCCACGTAAGAAAGGGGATTATTATTATTATTATTTTTTTGGTGAAAAGAGAAAGGGGATTATTATTGACTCTAAAAAGAGATTAGGATGTGGTGGCTATGAATCACACTCGTAGATGTCTCATGGGTGTACAAATGGTTTATTTTTTATTTTAGTTTATATTATTAAAAATAATTGATAATTGATATTTTTTTATTTATTTTTAGTAAATTATTTTTTTTATGTTAATTTATTAAGTGTATTTTAATTTTTCTTATTATTATTTATGATATTTTAATTATCAAAATATCTCAATCTTTTTCAATTTTATTTGTCTAAATTCATTCAAAAAGTTTATTTAATTTATATTTTTAAAGTACATATTAAATATTAATTATAATTTTTATTAATTTATATAAAAA